TAGCAAAACAAAGTGAATTAGTATACATATACAGAGGTTTGTTGACATTTGTGGTGAAAGTCGGGAATCGAGAACGCCAGAGGAGTATACATGTTGTCAATTTACAAGCATATTTTGTACAAAGCATGATATTTTATACTACAAATACGGTATATACCAATATATGTCTTCAAGGCAAGGATTTGACCTGATGTTAAAATAATTAATACCAGTTACCTTTAATGGATTCAATATATTTGAAAAAAACAGCCATATATCTACGTTTGCTGAGTGGATATCGAACAAAATTTGTTGACGCTCCCCGGTAACTGGCGAATAAATGCAGAGACTATCGATCATGTAGAGATATAAATGCGACTAAGTGAACTGTCAAGGACGTAATCATTACTGTTGAGGGTATTATTGCGATTAACTGGTAATTGTAGTCATATGCTACATACGAAAAGACGGCTCAACTAGGTTATATTTATCTTTTATGTTGCTTGGAAAAAATGTATGAAAAGTTCAAAGGCTCAGACGTTATTTGAATAAGGTTGAGAAGTGTGCTCGGTCAGTAATGAGATACACGTATAAACCACAGATTCTTAGCTACGTAGAAACTATTCACGAAGTACGAGGCACGTATGTATGTACGAATAAGCATACATTTATATAGGATTATTCCAAAAGTTGCATTAGATATTCTTTCCAAATAGGTTGTTGTTTTGGAGTTCGCCTGTTATCGTGCATTTATCTACGCGATTTACATCGCGCGACTGTATCATTCGGCAGTTTTGACATATGAGCATTTTTCTGACATTACTTAGAAAGAAGCGAGCATCTAAGTGTAGTATGTGCACCATTGCGAAACACAAATCGCGTATACTGGGTGATTCAGAAAAACGTGGCAATATTTCTAGGGCATAAAGTAGATCAAAAAGTTTATATAAACATGGGTCCTAAAATGCTCGACTACCGAAATAAAGGACGTTGAAATTATAATTTCAAAATTGAAAAAAATATGCTTTCGGAGTGGATTAAAATATTGTCATGTACATGTAATAGTTAAATCTATCGCTAATATATACCAAAATTTTCGTACCTTAGGGCCGTATCGTCAGAAAGGCTGAGGTATTTCTAGATTCCGTGACAGCGTCAGCGTTCTCCTATTGAGAAGTTATGTTTGCTTTTTGAATTGTAGGAAATTTCAGGCTGATGAAACAGATGATATAAATCAAAAGCATTGACAATTTGATGGAAATAGATATTTGTAAGATAACCTCAAAATAAAGTTTACAATTGTAGGACGCCTTTATGGCCTTCTTGATTTCCATAGTTTTCTACTTTTCCATGTCAGCGCTCTATTTTGAGATTAATTATCTATTTGCATCAAATTGTTCATGCTTTTGATTCGTATCATGTTTTATCAGCCTGAAATTTCCTACAATTCAGAAAGAAAAACATAACTTCACAATAGGAGATCGCTAACGTTGACAGGGAACAGGTGCAATCTAGAAATACAGGCGAACTACAATTGTAGTATCATTCAGGTTGGATGTGAACATGTGTTACTAAAGGATTAACATGGATAAAGTTATCTGGATCTCCTATATATAAGGCGTACTAAATGTTAAAAATACTAAAAAAAGTTATGATTAATATTCCTATAATATCTTTAAAAGTGAAGTAAAGATGAAATGGAATTTTACCAATATTTCTTTTTGTTCCTAAGGGATTATTAGATCCTGTTTGATGAAGAAAAAGTATATGAATAATTACTAAAGCAGTGACAATTAATGGAAGTAAAAAATGAAATGTAAAAAATCGAGTTAGAGTTGCGTTATCTACTGCAAATCCTCCTCAAATTCATTGAACAAAAAGATATTTGCCCTCAAGGAAGAGCATAGCCTAAAAATGCTGTAGCTATAACTATAAAAAAATAGTTGCTCCAATCATTCAAATTTCCATTAAATAGTAAGATCTGTAATAAATACCACGTCCAATATGAATATATAACCTAATAAAAAGAAACTAGATTTGTATGAAAACTCCGGATTAATCATCCATAAAACATTAACATTACGACAAATATGAGCCACTACAATTGTAGGGCGACATTATGGCCTCCTTGATTTTTTTTCTCTCCTTCAGAAAGGCTGGGATATTTCTTCCGTGTCAGCGTCATCGCTCTCCTATTGTCAGGCTATGTTTTTTTCTTGAATTATATTAAATTTTAGGCTATATAACAGATGATATAAATCTCAAGCAAGCACAATTTGATGCAACTAGATATTTGTAATCTCAAAATAGAGCGCTGACACGGAAGAGTAGAAAACTATGAAAATCAAGGAGGTCATAAAGGCACCCTACAAATGTAGGAGCGACTGACGATACGGCCCTAAGACTAGACCAGTGGCGTGGAAATGGTGAAATTTTGAACCTTACAGAAAAAAAATCATGTCAACTTCACTTTTCACGCCTTCGAAACAACTTCTAGTACAATTTTCTATGTAGTGCAATGGCATCAACGAGAGGTAGGTTTTGTCGGAGCTATTAGTGTACTACTTGGGCTTTTCATGGACAAATTTTTCTAAGATTGCAGCAATGAGCGAGTCCGTTCACGGTAGCCTCATTTCTCTGGTCTGGTGTAAAACTGTTTATCAACAATGATTTCAATTGCTCTTCATACGTACTTATTTACTATATATGCAATACTATATAATATTACCTCACGGATTGAAATAACCTCATTAAATTACAAAATGCTCGTATATATAGATAACATCGCGCCCACCTCCTATGTTCACATTGCGTCACCGCGTCGCCTGCTACTTGCTTTTATAAGTCCCTCGACTACACTACCAAAGATGTAATATTCACAACTCCGGTGGCGCACCGAAAGTGCAACCGATGGTACGCCGTCCGTCTACTTGAAGTGAGTTTAAAGGACAAATGTACGGGGGGATCTGCAGTATGTGAAATATGTCTAATAGGTGCGTAAAATTACTGGGGTTGAAAGAGTACTAATGTACAACTTGAAAAAACGAAGCATTTTTTCATTTTTGGCATTTTTCTCCACCGCCTATTCTCAAAACCCACAAAGCTTTTTTGTCCTTTTTTGTGACGTACATGTCATATAACATCCAAATAATATCTCATTTTTGAAAATTTTCGCGATTAGAACACTTCATTGCCAGTAGGTGTGGAAGGAAAAGAAAACTTTTTCGATGCCACCAACTTTTTCAGAACATCTATTGCATATTTGAATAACTTTGTCACTACTCCTTTGGGAGAAAAAATGGTTTGAATATCTGAATTAAAATCGGCATAAAAAACCTGAACTCTTTTTACTTTGAAAATGCGCTGAAGTTACTGAAATCTGACTTTGAAAATTGTGTGTAGCGTATTAAGAGAAGTAATTCTAACTCATCATAACGTTATTAGAACAATACTCATGCTTTGTGTTTATCCAGTCTCATCGGTAGCATAGAATCTTGTTAATCGGACATTCTAAGACCCATGTTTTGTACGAACTATTTTTGTTATTTTTGGGTGTACTTTCTACACTAGAAGTATTGCCATGTTTTTATGAATCAGCCTGTATATATAGGTGATCCTACGGTTCCACCATTTTTACAAAACTTCCCGAAAAATGAAGAAAACGGTGAATGTAGCTCCCAAGAGGAACTAAATGAAGGACGAAGCCTGTGGTAAATAAACATTATGTGTTGCGCTCATTTGCTACTGCAACTAGAGGTATTTGATTGTTCACTTTGTCCAAGGTTCTTATCAAAGTTTGAAGCTCTTTATCTCAATAATTTCAATCTAAATAGTGAGCATGTTTTTACCGTGATATGGGTGATTACATCGGCACAGATGCTGGGTTGACTGTCCTTTTGACTTATCCGACAAGATCATTGTGAAATCTCGGCAAATTCCCCTATATCTTCAACTTATATTTTTTTAAAACATATAAAGATATTTTAGCTCTACTCAGATTTTCGCTATGAGTCCAATACTATGCGCGATCGTGGACATTTTCGAATGCAATGTTTTACGTTCTTTAGACGTGCAGGCGCTTTCGTAAAAACGTAATCTTAGTAACAGATGCATCGATTGTGATGGGAATAACATTTTTTGATGTTTTACCAATAATTAGAAGAATATATTTAGCAATGGAAAGGATAATTCCTGTCTATTCTGTCGCGAATTTGGAAAATGGGAAATCGGATGTTTTATGACTTCGTGTAACGAAATCTATGTCACCACTTATGCCTATCTGCCGGTCTGTTGTACTCCCGTGGACTTCTTAAAAAAGGAAAACGTTAATATTCGTTGCATATTTTTCGGATTCCTGACTATTTTTGTGGGTAGTAATTGTTATTCTGGGGAAGTCAACATTTCAAAAAAAGAAAGATCTCCGTTTTGGAGTCACCAAAAATTATTTAGTCTCTCCAAAATTTTGGAATTTTTAGACATGTTTATGAATAGTTATAAACGTACGAACCTTCAGGTCCTATTTACATATTCGTGAAATTTTTACAGTCTCAAATAGGGGCCTAAATATTTTCAATAATTCATTTTTTCATTGTGTAAAATTGAAAGACGCTTTTGGGTTGTTCAGAACTCGACTACGTGATCAAAAAATAAAAATCTAGTGATGCACGGGAAGTGCCAAGTTCTACTCTGTTTTTCAAGTGAAACTAACAATCGAGAATTCTACAAAAATTTACAACAGAAAAATCCCAGAGCCAGCGTCGGGCGTAGTAAATTTTCTGGAATGACCAAATTTCTAGATAAGAGCAATCACCGTTTTAGAACGATATTCATGTTCCAGTTCATCTTGGACGTGACATATTTGTGGGCATATAAACATTTGACAATCCTTTCATTAAGACAATTTTTATTGGTCAAAGTTAAGAGAAGCTTTTGGCTTGTTTAGAACTGAATACGTGAACAAAACATAGCGATGCATCGAAAGTACAAATATATTCTACATTTTTTCAAGTGATAATACATACCGCTAAAATTGACAGCCGACAGCAATTCGCACAAATATCAGCACTAGAAAAATCCCAAAGTCAGCGGCAGCTTGGATGACAAGAGTCCGCGTGGTGCAACAACAATCCGGCGGCACATGAACATGAACACAAACGGCGCAGCGGAGCGGTGGTGAAACGCATGTACGAACGCGTCGCGGGCGGCGTAGCGAGCGTGCAGAAAACAGTTGCGCATCGACTCGACTGGTGGTGCGTCCGCCTCCTACGATTAGAGTGAGCCAAGAGTACTTGGATGGTCGGTGCGAGTGCGAGCACGGCACAGCCAGCTACGATCCGAGGATGAGGAATTGAGCCGCGGCACGGTGGTAATGCTCGCAGCGGCGGCGCCGACGAATGTTCGAACGTTAATTAGGGGAGGATGCGAAAGCCAGGGCGAAGAACAAGAGGAAGGAGCTATAGTCAAGTTCCAAATTTTTAAGAGAAAATATCGTGATGCATCTTACGCCACTCCGTGAATGTGTCGGAAGTGACGTTCGCACACAGATTAGTGCTGTAGAATGCATCATCTTTCAATATGGAATTATGCTGTATAGCCGGGGATAAGATAAGAATAATTGAAAGTTGGAGAACCTTCTTCGAAAAAGTTTATCTACCTAAAGAAGTGTGCGTTTTTGGAAACACTGCGTACCTATTTCAGCACCCCTAACTCAAAAATAGCTTTTTTCTGGACTATTAACTGCAACAGCTGGCAAAAGGTGACAAAACATTCAGGTTTTTGAAAAGTGATGAGGAAGTAACTTGTATTTTACATGAAGTAGAATAATTGGGTAGCTTATGGATTTTACAAATTACATTACAATTAGATTTTTTTGAGATCTAGCAAATTCTTAGGATAGTTTTTAAACGGTTCAAGATGCTTTATTGCTTTTTAAATTCTAAATTCTATAGATAAACATTTAAAGTTCAAACAGATGCCATCACAGCTGGATAAACCCTCAGATTCAATATATTATAGTTCATTCCATTCTTAACTAATTTGATATATCAGAATTTCAGTGAGAGCGGTCCGAATCTCTTATTTTTGCTAACTATATAGTATTTCCACCTTCACACGTTACTCCGTATTGAAATAAATATTGCACGGAAAACGATAAGCATTTCGGAGTTTCTTTCATTATAAATCAAACATCCTATCCCCACCGATTACCCTATATCACCATATAGTACACGAGTCAACCTACTTGACGCCATTTTTAATCAATTCGATCTATCCGGATCCCAGCGGCATTGATACGCACTCCTTGCTTTCTCTTACTATAAAGCAAAAACCCTAACGCTACCCATTATTCCGTATCGAAATACAGGACGAGAGTCAACCAACTTGATGTTTTTTTAACCAATAATCCAGACTACGAGCGTAAGCTATCTGCAACTCGAACTCCCGTCGACCAGAAAGCAAAACTCGATTCCCATCAATTACTCCGTATCACGATACAATGCGCGAGTCCAACCTACTTGACGCCATTTTTATCCAATTTGGTCTATCCGAGACACTGCGAATGGGATCTCCATTCCATGCTTCCTCTGACTATAAAGCAAAAATCCTTCTATCCATTATTCCGTATCCACATACAGTACGTGTGAGTCAACCTACTTGATGCCAGTTTTATCCAATTCGGTCTATTCGAATTGTAGCGAAACCGATCCTCACCTCGTACTCTCACTGACTGTAAAGCAAAAACCCTATCCCCACCCATTACTCGCTATCGACATACAGTGCGTATTGTTTTCTCATCTTTTCCCCCACCATCCTAGCTTCAGTCTCCCCAGTCCCCACCCCAAACGTTCCAGTTGCATAAAGCTCCCGAAAAAAGCTCGAAAGCTTATCCATAGGCGCGCGTTACGCCGCTTCTTGGCCGAAATCTACTTGCCAAACGGCACGAAACAGCTGAATGTGCAAGAAGGTGCGAATCAGAATAGGAGGAAGAATGCAGAAGAAGCACATGCCGCCTGCCGACTGGCGTGGTCGTGTGTTCTTGGCGTGGAGCACGGTTTAGGGCAGGGTTGCCAGGTCAATTTTTATGTCTTCGGCATACGGGGCCTGAAAAATGAATACTTACTATGATGCTGTCCGCAGGCTTCGCGAACGCGAGCGAGCGGATAGAGTGTTTGACTTGGTTTGCAAGCACTTGTAGCTCTTTTGATCCAGTGTCGGATTTTCCTCCCAAATCAAAGCCGCGCTTATGACGCGTCCACAGGTAGGTGCAGAGCCGTATGCTCCGCTGTTCGATTCTCGTCTGCCGGCGCGCATGACATCACGCGGAGAGTGATTATCATTTGGGTTGATATGGATAACGTGCATATTTTCACCTACAGGCCAAACGGCTGGACGGATTTTCACATATGGGATGTCGTTGGATTCGCCTTAGCGGTGCGAGTGACACTAGCTACATTAAAATTTTATACAAAACAAAATGGTGGATATCAATAAAAGATTTCAACCCTGTAATTACTATTTCACAGGCTATAGCTTAAACGGCTTCTAGCTCCACAATAGAGCGTATCGTCTCTTCACTGTAAAAACAAGATAACTCCATTTTTCTACATTACCTATATTTTAGTATGTTCTGTGGAGCAGGATTAACATGTTCATGTCATAATACTGTACTACATTTATCCTTATTCCACAGAACATCCTAAGTACATGTAAGGGTGAACATGTACGCAACTCAAAAAGTAGAAAAATGGAGTTATCTTCTTTTTGCAGTAAGGTGGTGGTAAAACAATAAATGCAAATGACTTAGTCTAAGTAACAATTTTTTTCCATTTCCTTGTACGATTTTTCTGGTCTTTCAAACTTTTATTCAGTTCTTTGGTCCATAAGAACATCCTTGACCTGAAAAATGGTTTTTTAGCTTTTTCTGGGCAGTCAATGTTGCAGCTCTTCTACAGAAGTTCACCTATAAAATTTTGCTTTTTTGTCACTATTCCATCCCCATTGAATGTAGTGAATACCTTGTTCAGCTTCTCAATTTGATTCATGAAAGTTGCGGAAGGTTTTGATAATCTACCCTCACTAAGATGGTCTATCCATGAATAAGTTTCATTTGAGGAACTTTTCAACCTCTCATCCTGCAATTTATTGCAAACAAAGCCGGCCAAATTTTCTAGCCAATCATACTCGAGCTCATCTATTTCTTCCACTAAAACTTGCTCGGTACAGTCAGCTGATACATCAGGTGCATTCAGTTTATTCTCGTTAATGATGCGGTTAGTGGTTAGTGGAATGTCTGGAGAATCATCTGGCTCTACGCTGCAATAGGTACTCTGAGTATGCGCCTTCGTTTCGCTCCAACATATATGACCTTATCTATACTTAAATTGTAGAGGACTTGTATGGTCATGAAGACCATCTTTTGCCCAAATTACTCCGAAAAAGTTTTCTATTACATCTTGATTTAGACGTCTTGTTAACAGGTATTGGACGCTAAAGCGTCCTTTCAGATACTCTAGAGCATGTTCTAGCAAAACCTAGCGCTTTTTACATTGACTTTGTCTTATCTTTTTGTGAGATGTAGCCTTTTTTTTGCTAACGTTTGGGTCTTGAGGACTTCATGTCTTTGCAAAGATTCCGTTTAGATTGATTGTCAGAATTACATCCCACAACAGCACACCGCATTTTTATCAATTTATCAACCACATAGGGTATATAAGGTATGTATAACTAATACAACAAGTCTCGAAACCACCCAAAAACACCAACAAATCGCACTATATAGTATTAACCACGATACACGTGAACTGTAGTAACGTTACGGCAATCCTGCCGCTGGCGCTGGTAACCACGAGCCGATAACTCTCCGGGTGACGTCACGAAGCTCCGCCCACATGCGCAATATCCTATCTTCAGTGTATGTGTATCGTGGGTAGATGTGTGCTGCCTTAGTCTCGTTTGTGCACTGGTACTGAATAGAGCTTTAATGTTTTACCATTCAACTGAATTTCAATTCAGTTCTCTCTATTAAATGCTCCACGAGTACATGATAATTGATGTATGACTACATCTCCAACTTGATCAAAAGCTGTGCCATTTTTGAGATTGCGAATATAGAAGAATGTCAATATATAGGTCGACAGACATATAAACAGACATATCATATGAATGAAAGAGTGCCATGATTTTTTGTTGTTGCAGGCATGACAAAACATCAAAAAGATCAAATTTAAAGATTTTCGCGGTTACAATATTTTCCTCGCTTTATGAGGAAAGTAAAGATAGTAAAGCTCAGCTCGGATGTTCACAATTTTCGTATACTCAAAAAATTAAAGTTCAACTAAACATTTTTATTAAAGGTTTGTAAATCAGACTAAATGAATTTTGAGAACGATCTGATACCTGTGTTTCGCCACCACTGTTGCCCAAGCATACCGCACTCAAAATTTCACCAAGACGCTTCTAAGATTACTAAGCTGGAATAAAGGAATAAGTAAGATGGATTTTCGTGATGTATGAAACACCAAAATGGCTGAAAATCGGAGCTTCGTGGCCACAATACCTAACTTGGTCATGAGGAAAGAAAAAACGGTGAAAAAAAAATTAAGTATTTCTCATGTTTTTTACTTCTTATGCCACTGGGAAGTACTGTAATCGAGAAACATTTCGAAAATGAGTTTATGTTTTTTGGATGTTATATGGCATTTACATCACGAAAAACCAGGTGATTAATTTCCGTCGGTCTGTCTGTCTGTCGGTCCGTCCGGTAATCCTTGGGTTTGGATGACATTTTTATTCAAAGTGACTACTACGACAAGGACGAAAAAGTTTTGTAATTTTTGAAAATCGGTTCAGTGGCGGTTGAGAAAAAGGCTAAACACAAAAAAATCAATATCGCTCAAACTGTTTTTTGACGCTTCGCATCCTGATCATTTTTTAATACATTTTTAGGGATACAAAGTTAGAAGGTTTTTGATGTTAGAATATTTATTACGCCCCTAACCCCAGTAATTCTACACACCTATCATCCATATTTCTCCGTAAATTTGTCTTTAAAACTTAGAATGATAGAGAAATTTTATACGCGTCTTTTTCTGCTATCTGGGCTTAGCGCCCAGTGTAACGGTCAGCTATTTCTGTTCGTAATGCGGCAGTGCTTCGGTGGGCGCTGCTGTGTGACGACATGGGAAGGGCAAACGTTGCTACACGGACGGTAAGTACCGGTAGGGCAAAGAAAGATTGTCTCTGGACTCTGGATGAATTTTCAAAACCCACAGAACCTTCTTGACC